AAAAAAAAAATCTCTGTTCTTCCAGGCTAGGAGTTATCCTTACTCTTAGGCTGGTAAAATACATTGTAGGTCAGAGTTAGATGGAAGACCCATTCCTGAGCCAGTCACAGGGAAAGAGGCAGGAGTGCCATGATAAATTTAGATGTACAGATCAAAATGGGTCCTGGTGAATTAAATACTATTTCTTCATGCTTTCTCTGTGGTTGTTTCTTCCACTCTTTCTTGGTATTTATGCCTTTCCATTTACTGAAGGTCTTAATTTTCTTCTTGTTAATGAAATTGTAGTGTGAATTCCCATTATATTGTATGTTCACATTTTAATTAGGGTTTTGTCAACCTAAAGGTCTTTAGAAAATGTACTAATGTATGTTTAATTTTAACCACCAAGATAGACTTGTGAAATACTGGTTAGTGAGGTTTAAGGTTATTTCATTCTCCACTCATTCCTTCTTCACTGTTATTTGCAAAAAAATTAGGAAGTACATTTGCAAAGGAAAAGTAGAATTGCCCATTATCTTATCACTCAGAGAAAAACATTTTATTTTTCTTTATGGAGTTTAAAAAAATTTTGGAAATCCTTTATAGTTATTTGGAGAAAACAGATACTTATCCTTATTTGGAGAATTATATTCCACTTACATTGCCTTTCTACACATTCTTACAGAAATAGGGGGAGGCTTCAGAGCTTTTTATAAATGTGGGACTTGAGTTTTACTCCAAGGAATATATTGGTACTTACCTGTTGAGTCAGCGCTGAATTCAGCATGGATAATCATCCGAACTTTGAGGGCTTAAGGTTAGCTCCACAGTGTTTGGCGTGATTTCAACTCCAAAGTCTTAAACTGGGAGAACAACCAGAGCTCACAGGTACTGACTGGCCTTGGTGATTAATGCAGAACCTTTTCTATTGAAATCCCAAGACTGGGAAGGGTGGGAATGGAAAAGAGTGTTTCCCCTCGCGACCGTAGTACTGGAAACTCTGTCAGTGAGCTTCATTCTTTGGGTTAATAGCACCACATCTGGCAAAACCTGACCTTTCTTCGAAGCAAAAGCTCCAGGATCTGTGAGCTATAAAAGTGACATCTTGCAGTGCCAGGCTGGAAAGCTGCCCAACATGAGTTGCACATTTGGCTGGACATGAAGGTTTTAGGTTTCACAGTGCCATTGTCTATCATCTTTGCCATTGCTCACCAAGGAAGGAAGCCAATGTCACAATGCTTGGGCTTGCACACATCCCTCTCCACAGCTGCTGCTCTGAATATCTGGAATGATAGAGCAGTCAGCCCCTGCTGCTGCTGACTCCCTGGAAGACTGAGCTCAGTTCTCATCCAGAATTCGATTAGTACTGCCTTTCTCACTTCTTTTCACTAAGATTATCTTCCCGGAAAACGACTGTAGTTTTTGACACTGAAGGATCTTTAAATGACCTCTAATGAGTGGAACAGAAGAAATGTATTTCTTCATGGCCAGAAGTAGCAATGCCCAGCTTTCCTGTTTTGTATAAGTTAGATGCCATTGCCTACAGGATCCTAGCAGGTGAAAACTATATTATGAAGTCAAGCTTTTGGTTTTGATTTCTGCTTACTCTCTCCATCAATGGTGAATATCTTTCTCAGTCTATTTTAGCCTTTATTTTCTTGCCCATAAAATAATACCTAGGATTCTCACCAAACAGACTTGTGCTAAGTAAAATAATTATTTAAACTGCCCATAATTTCTAGAGTCTGGGACATGCTCAGTAAATATTCGTTTAGCCTGACATTATCTCTTTGTGACTCTGTGACTTTAGCTCTTTTATATTATCCACAAAGAGAAAATGTAATTTTACAATAATAACAGAACTCATAAACTAAGGAGTTAGAAAGCCAAAGAGAAACCAAATCTCAAGTTTCCTTTCTCTAAGTCCTGAAGATTAACTCATTAAATGCATTTTTCAAATACAGCAAAAGTGCATTGGTAGTACTCATGTACAATGGGAGAGTGCGGGCCCTCTTACCACTGAAAGAGAAGACAGGTTTCTCAGGACATGCAGTGCCATGAGACACCACAGGAGGAAGCTCCCAGCTTCCCAACCCATGAAAACACAAGAAGTCAACAAAAACATCCACTGAGTTTTGAAAACAAAGCCCCATTGCTTTTCGCAGATGACAACGTGTAGATGACTATACTGAAATTGACGTCCAGTATCCACTAGCTTTAGTGGTGAATTGGATACTGACAATTTTGGCTTGTTCATAGTAAGAAGAAAGCTTGGTAGAAAAGTTGTGAACACCTAGGTGTAATAATAGCTGAGAGGAAAGAACCCTTAGATTGTAAAAGATAATGAAGTTAAGGTCTCACGTGGTGAGGCAGCAGGAGGTAGTGCAACAGCAAGCAGAAACACTGAAACAATGCCTAGGATTTGGAGGCAGATTATTTACATCAATGAGCACTGACTAAGATCATTCCCAGAATATCAGGCCCTGATCTCTGGTGGTCTAGGGCTTATACGGGTGGAGCAAGCAGAAAGTACAGAGACAGAATGGCTTGTCAATTGGGGATTGGTTTATACAATGTGCATCATAGCAGCTATGCATCACAGTTACCAGCTGTTTCTAAGAGACAGGAACAACTGGAACTAGAACGGAAGCTATTACCTTGGCAACTAACAAACTGAAGTATACTGGCTGGGGAGGGAGGCATTTTCTCCTACAGTAGGGAAAAAGCCTATAGAGAATCACACTGGCTAAAAGTCTTCTGTCTGCTGTGTGAACTCTTTTTAAAAATTTTATTTATTTGTTTTTATTTATTTATTTATTTTAAAGAGAAAGGAACAAAAACAATGTAACAAAAACAAAGACAAAACAAAACAACACAAAAGCTGTGAAGAACAATACAGAATTTCAGAACAGGATGATAGGAAATCTATAATGGTTGTTGTATTATTTATTGTTATTTTCAAAGTAGTTGCTCAGATTATCAGATATAGGCATGCAAGATTAATCGAACAATTAAACATTAACTGTTGCTTTCAATAAACCAATAGAAATTAGTAGTACAATTATCTTAGCTAGCCTGGTATCTATCTATCTATCTATCTATCTATCTATCTATCTATCTATCTATCTATCTCCCTTCCTTCTTTCTTTCTTTCCCTTTTCTTCTTTCTCAGTTGTTCTATTCTATTAAGCAATTTCTTTCCCTTTCACAATGTCTATTGTACCTTTCAGTTTTAATTACTCTTTCAGGTTCTTACACTAGGGAGTCAATACAGTGTTTATAGATGTGGGTCTGACTTATTTTATGTATGAGTATGATCTCTCATTGCATTCATTTACATATAAAAGCCTCGAGTTTATCTTTCTTTATAGATGAGTAATATTCCATTGTATAAAAATGACACACTTTCTTATCCATTCCTCAGTTGGAGGACATTTGGATTGTTTCTAAAATTTTGCTATGACAAATTATGCTGCTATGAATATGGGTGCACATATATTGCTGTGGTATGATGTTTTTAATTCTTCTGGGAAAATACCTAGAAGGGGAATGGATGGGTTAAATGGGGCCTCTAATCCTAATTTTTTGAGGAGTCTCCAGACTGATTTCCACAGTGGTTGCACCAGTCTATATTGCCACCAACTGTGGAGAAAGGTTCCTTTTCCCTCGCAACCCCTCCAGCATTTGTTGTTGGTTGATTTCTTGATGATAGCCATTCTTTCTGGGGTGAGATGGAATCTCAGTGTTGTTTTAATTTGCATCTCTTCAATGACCAATGATGTTGAATATTTTTCATATATTTATTTGCCATTTATATTTCTTCATCCTAGAAGTGCGTGTTTATCTCAGATGCACACTTTTGGGTTGGGTCTTTGAAGTTGGGGTTCTGAGTTTTTTCAATTCTTTATATGTTCTAGATATAAGTCCTTTGTCTGAGGGATAGTTAGATAAAATGTTTTTCCCCTCTGTGGGTTGTCTTTTCACTCCGTTGGTGATTTCTTTTGAAGTACAAAACCTTTTTAATAGGATGAGATCCCAGTTGTTGATTCTTTGCAGCGTTTCCCATGCAGTTTGGGTTTTGTTCATGAAGGCTGTGCCTACCTCTATGTCTTTAAGATTTTGAACTACTTTCTCTTCCAGTAGATTTAGTAGATTTAGTGTAAATTTTTGATCCATTTTGATTTTAGTTTAGTGGATGGTGATAGACATGGGTCTAGTTTTAGTCTTCAGCATGTAGAGAGCCAGTTTTTTCAGCACCATTTGTTAAAGAGGCTCTCTTTCTTCCATTGAATATGTTTGGCCCCTTTGTTGAAGATAAGGTGACTGAGTGTGTTTGTAGTTGTACCTGCATCTTTTCATCTGTTCCATTGATCTGCAGGTCTGTTTTTGTGCCAGTAAAATGCTCTTCCATTGATAATTCTTTGTATTGTTTTCTTGGTTTCCACTGTTAATTTTTGCTCTGATGTTTGTAATTTTCTCCCTTCTGTCGGCTTTCAGTTTGTCTTGCTCTTCTTTTTCTAGAAGCCTGAGGTGTAATATCAGATTGTTTATTTGTGCTCATTGAATTTTCCTGATGTGAGAATTCACTGCTATAAATTTCCCTTTGAGGACTGCTTTCATTGTGTCCCATAGCTTCCAGTATGTTGTATCTGCATTCTCATTTAGTTTTAGATATTATTTAATTACTTCCTTTATTTCATCAGTAACCCATTGGTTGGTTAGGAGGGTAGTATTTAATTTCCATTTGTTTTTGGAGTTTTTTCAGTTTCTTTTGCCATTAATTTATAATTTCATTGCACTATGGCCAGATATTATGCATGGGATAATTTCAATTCCTTTGCATTTACTTAAGCATGTTTTGTGGGCTAGTATATGGTCTATTCTATGGAATGCTCCATGAGTAGCTGAGAAGAATATGTATACTGATGATGTTGGGTGGAACAGTCTAAAAACATCTACTAGGTCCATTTGTTCACAGGTTTGGTTCAGTTCTATTTCTTTGCTGATTTTTTATCTAGTGGATCTATCTCTTTGTGACAATGGGGTATTGTGGTCCCCCATTACAATTGTGTTATTGCTTTTTTGATTTTTCATGTCTATTAATAATTGTCTTATATATTTGGGAGTTGCTGTATTTGGTGCATATATATTTATGATTGTTATTTTTTTCTCTTGAAGTTTCCCCCTAACAAGTATGTAGTGACCTTCTTTATTTCTTTTGATCATTCTGGTTTCAAGTTGACATTGTCTGTGAAAAGAATTGCTACTTCTTCTTTTTTCTGGGTTTCTATTGCATGGAAGATTTTTTTCTCTTTGATTTTCAGTCTATGAATTTCTTCTTGCATTAAATGTGTTTCTTGTATACCTCATATTGTTGGATCTTGTTTCTTGATCCACTCTGGCAGTCTCTTTCTTTTGATTGTTTAATTGAGACAATTTATGTTGATAGTTATAATCGATATGTATTGGCTTATCTTGGTCATGGTATTTTCCTGCTATTAGTTTCCTGATTTTCCCCTCTGTTTAATTGCTTGCCCTGTCTGGTGGTTTCTTTCTGTTGTTCTTGAAATTGTGGTCATGTTTATCTCCGTCTAATATATCTTTTAGAACTCTTTGTAGTATTGGTTTGGTGTGCATAAATCTATTCAATTGTTCTTTGTCATGGGAGTATCTTATTTCTCCATTAATTTTGAAAGATAGTTTTGCAGGGTACATCAATCTGGGCTGTAAGTTATTTTCTTTCAGGACTTGAAATACTTCACTTTAAGCTCTTCTTGACTTGAGCATCTGTGTTGAGAAGTCTACAATGATGCTGATGAGCTTTCCTTTATAGGTGATCTGTTTCTTCTCTCTAGCAGATTTTAATGTTTTTTTCCTGTGCTGTATTTCTGGAATCTTGATTATTACATGTCTTGGTCTGGTTTTATTTTGGTCAGGAATGTTTGGAATTCTAAATGCTTTATTTATTTGTATTTCAAATTCTTTATCCACACTTAGGAAGTTTTCTGCCATTATTTCTATCAATAATTTTTTTGTATCATTTGTGCTGTTTCCAGCTTCCTCATTGACCCAAACCAATCTTATGTTATTCTTGTTTGCTTTATCTTGTAGCTCTTGGATTGATTTTTTAATGGTCTCTTGCTAATTTTAAGGTATCTTTCTTTGCATTATCACTGTCTGTAATTCTGTCTTCTAGTTCTGAAATCCTATCCTCTCCTTCATTCAACCTATTGCATATACTTTCAATAGAGGTTTTAATCTCTTGAATTTCTTTTTGGATCTGTTTAACAGATTCCATTTCTTTCCTATGCTGGGCATTATTTGTTTCTGTCATTTTTTAACATCATCT